GCCACCTAAGCCAAACAAGGAGTTTTTAAATGAATTTTCTGCTCTTCTCACTCATTTTTCTGTACTTTCTCCAAATCTGATCATTGCTGATGACTTCAATATTCATATGGACAATAATAAAATCCCTCTTTCCAGAGAATTTACCTCCTGCCTGGAAAGTTTTGGGCTTCTACAGTACATAAAATTTCCTACCCATTCCAAAGGTCATATCCTGGATTTGGTCTGCTGTTCTGGCATTACCCCCACCCATTGTAAAGCCTCACTGTTTCCCCAGTCTGATCATATGTTTATTTCTTTTGATGCAAACCTAACCGCTTCCAAAACCTGTATCTCTCCTAATATCACTTTTAGGAAAATTAGTAATATCAACCCAGCTGTTTTTTCATCTGCCGTCCATGACCTTCCATCTATCCAAAGCTCCTCAACCCCTCATGAACTCGTTTGTCATTATAATGTGTCAAAAGATTTTACCTTATTACCTTCATGTTTAGCCTTATTTGAATTTTGTAGTAATGCCTGTACGTAGCGTGTCAGCAAATTCTTTAGCTGGAACAAAGTGATCACATGAGGAAGTTGCTCAAGTTTAGACAACACCCACATGTATTGTTTTAACCCACTACAAGATCGTTAATCAACTTGTCCATCTTTGTCTTGCAAGGCTGCATCCTGTGCAGCCTCGTATGCAATCACCAGATAAGAAGTTGTTTTTTCCTGAACTTGTACTCCACCCATGAGTGTTACGTGAGTAGGACAGTATATAATAAAGTTTGACCAGAGGCCTGGCGCGCATTCCTGCACAGGAATCGTCCATGTACATGAATTGACTCTGGGCCCGTGATTCTTTGCTTTCCTGAGGTTTTTCTCCTTACATAATGTCAACCTTCATAGCCTTCTTAACATATTTGCTCCCCTTAAACATCGAACTGTCTCATTTTCCCGTTCAGCTCCATGGTTTACCTCCGACCTGCGTCACCAGCTAAAGGACACCAACTCGAATGTCTATTCAAGAAAACCGGACTTACTGTACATAAAGAAATGCACAATGATCATGTTTTGTTCTATAGGGACTGCATTGCCTCAACCAAATCTGCTTACTACTCTGGTTTAATTAGTTCTAATGAAGGTAACTCCAGGTCCCTCTATTCATTGTTCAGTAAAATTACAAAACCTCCAGACACATTACCCTCCCACATGTATTCTGTTGATTTTTGCAACTCTCTTATCTCTTTTTTCACTTCTAAAATCTCAGACATTCACCGTCAACTTAACTCTTTAGGAGCTCCTGACTCTGAAGTAGACTTCCTGGTTCCCCCACTGTCTTCCTGTCAGTTATTTTCAAGCTTTACTCTTCCCTCCATAACTGACGTATCTAAGCTCATTAAAAAATCTAAGTCATCCACCTGTCAACTTGACCCTCTCCCCACTGTGTTAGTTAAAGCCTGTCTTCCCTCGTTAGCACCTCTCATAACCAATATTA